CCCGTACAGGCCTGAAATTTTTTTCAGGTCTGATTTTCACTATTGCTCAAATAGTGCTTTACTGCGAAGGATCGTTCTCATATACGTCTCATAACCGCAGTTCACACATATGTTTCATATGTTTGTTGTTGTTTGATTTATCATCTACGGGTTTATATCGAATTAATTTGATGGCCTGCTCCCAGTTGGCTTGTTAGCTCAATTGGTAGAGCGCTGCACTAGTATCGCAGAGGTCAGTGGTTCGAATCCCGTACAGGCCTGAAATTTTTTTCAGGTCTGATTTTCACTATTGCTCAAATAGTGCTTTACTGCGAAGGATCGTTCTCATATACGTCTCATAACCGCAGTTCACACATATGTTTCATATGTTTGTTGTTGTTTGATTTATCATCTACGGGTTTATATCGAATTAATTTGATGGCCTGCTCCCAGTTGGCTTGTTAGCTCAATTGGTAGAGCGCTGCACTAGTATCGCAGAGGTCAGTGGTTCGAATCCCGTACAGGCCTGAAATTTTTTTCAGGTCTGATTTTCACTATTGCTCAAATAGTGCTTTACTGCGAAGGATCGTTCTCATATACGTCTCATAACCGCAGTTCACACATATGTTTCATATGTTTGTTGTTGTTTGATTTATCATCTACGGGTTTATATCGAATTAATTTGATGGCCTGCTCCCAGTTGGCTTGTTAGCTCAATTGGTAGAGCGCTGCACTAGTATCGCAGAGGTCAGTGGTTCGAATCCCGTACAGGCCTGAAATTTTTTTCAGGTCTGATTTTCACTATTGCTCAAATAGTGCTTTACTGCGAAGGATCGTTCTCATATACGTCTCATAACCGCAGTTCACACATATGTTTCATATGTTTGTTGTTGTTTGATTTATCATCTACGGGTTTATATCGAATTAATTTGATGGCCTGCTCCCAGTTGGCTTGTTAGCTCAATTGGTAGAGCGCTGCACTAGTATCGCAGAGGTCAGTGGTTCGAATCCCGTACAGGCCTGAAATTTTTTTCAGGTCTGATTTTCACTATTGCTCAAATAGTGCTTTACTGCGAAGGATCGTTCTCATATACGTCTCATAACCGCAGTTCACACATATGTTTCATATGTTTGTTGTTGTTTGATTTATCATCTACGGGTTTATATCGAATTAATTTGATGGCCTGCTCCCAGTTGGCTTGTTAGCTCAATTGGTAGAGCGCTGCACTAGTATCGCAGAGGTCAGTGGTTCGAATCCCGTACAGGCCTGAAATTTTTTTCAGGTCTGATTTTCACTATTGCTCAAATAGTGCTTTACTGCGAAGGATCGTTCTCATATACGTCTCATAACCGCAGTTCACACATATGTTTCATATGTTTGTTGTTGTTTGATTTATCATCTACGGGTTTATATCGAATTAATTTGATGGCCTGCTCCCAGTTGGCTTGTTAGCTCAATTGGTAGAGCGCTGCACTAGTATCGCAGAGGTCAGTGGTTCGAATCCCGTACAGGCCTGAAATTTTTTTCAGGTCTGATTTTCACTATTGCTCAAATAGTGCTTTACTGCGAAGGATCGTTCTCATATACGTCTCATAACCGCAGTTCACACATATGTTTCATATGTTTGTTGTTGTTTAGTAATATTTCAGTTGAAGATCAAGTTTTATTTCGTCGATATGTGCAAAGTCTTGATTGTCATCTTTCGCTAAGTTTGTTTTAACAGAGGTGAATTTGAAATTATCAACAGTGACTGGAGAAAGAGCTTTGTACGGCTATCCATGTCTCGCAGACCCAGCAAGTAACCGTCCTCGAAATAACCATGCAATGAACATTTTATACAAATGATAGACGTTCTGGAAGTCTTTCGATTTCTGCACCATTTTTATTCTTTACTTACTGTTTAAACTTGTTTCGAAACATTTTATAACGCATCATCAAAAAGCAGAGTATTCAGTCACTTAGCCTTAAACAAATTTACGTCGGGTTACTCAGTTTCAGAAAGCCTAACTTCAAATCTGCGTGCTAATGAATTTTACGTAGAAAATTCAGACAATAAATACACTCAATACACTCAAGACACGCAAGATACCCAAGACACTCAAGACACTCAAGACACTGAAATGAAAACAATACTCACTCAAAAAACAATAAATAGCGGCAAAGATTCTTAGGTGTAGAGGTGAGTTTTCAATATATGAGGTCATCCTGCAGAAGATTTATAGTCACAAAATGCAGCATCATGCTAAGTTTCTGGTGAACGAATGGCTGCTTTCCTTTGAAAACATAAATTGGCCCACTATTGGTTGTACATTCAGTTTACTCAGTGAATGACATGTGCCACTATGTTAAAAACCACTAACACATGGCGCTTATTTAACAATTATAAACCTGGTTACGTCTTAGCTTACCGCAGAGTTCTCTTATCTGTGACTCAGTGGTAGTGTAACAGAGCACGATATGCGATGGACTGGGGCTCGATTCTCCTTGGGTTACTGGTTCATAGGTTTTTTATTTGTCGCTCGCTCTTGAC